AACAACCTAAGTCCACACAAAAACAAAAACAAGCACACAAGCACTAAACCTAAGCTAAATAATACTAAGTCCAGAACATAAGATACACAACCGGTGAAAGAAAAGTAATAAGTCCACAACATAAGCTAAACATCCAAGTCCACACAATAACAAACACAAGTACACAAGCACTAAACCTAAGCTAAATAATACTAAGTCCACACATTTAATCCACATGATAATCAAACACAAGCTATACATCTATTCCACAACGATAATCAAACAAATGTACACATCTAATCCACACGATAATCAAACAAAGCTACAAAAATATCTAAAGTAAGCAAAATCAGATAAGAATGAAAAGGCATACCACATTGTATTTGGCTTCGGTATGGGAGAAAGGACAGTCGTAAAAGCTTCCCTGCCAGGCTGATTGAGCAACGCATTGAGAATCCTCTGATGGTCTTCCGCGAGAGTGGGTGGGACTAGAGCTTCTTCACCATCGTGGTGACCTTCATGCGAGTGAGAGTAGGTTGGTTGAGCCGGTGGAGAGGTTTGTTCCTCACTCAGTGCGGGTTGGTGTTGAGAGTTAGCCGACGTCCGTGGTTGACTAGGTGCAGAGGAGCGAGGTTGAAGTGTTGCAGAGGAGCGATGTTGAACCGGGGCAGAAGAGTGATGCTGAATCGGTGGAGAGGAGTGACGGTGAGGTGGTGCTGACGATTGATGTTGAAGCGGTGGAGAAGAGCTATCGAATAGTTGCATCGGTGGGGGATAATCTCTAACAGAGATTAATGGTGGCTTCGTCGGTTGAAGAGGTGGTGGCGATTGGCTACTGTTCGCCGGAGTGAACTCATACTGGGGTGGCAGAGTGTTCGGCTGTCTCGCATTCGATGTACTCGCACCGCCTCTTTTTCCACCTCTCTTGTATCGCCGACCAGCCATGGAGTTGAATTGATTTTGGTGGATTAGGGTTTCGTTGGAGAGATGGATTAGAACAAAAAAGGTTTACGGTTCGAGTTTAGATCGATCGACTGCAGAAGGAAATCGATCGGAGAAGAAGATGGAGTGGAGAAGAAGATGGATTGGAGAAGAAGATGGATTGCAAAAGGAAATCGTGTGGAGAAGAGAAGGAAATTTGGGGATTAGGGTTTTCTCGCGAAATGAAAGAGAATCGGGGTGTTTAGGGTGTAGTTGTTGGGCCAGGACTCGTGTTTTTGGGCCTTTTCTTGGGTTTTAGGGTGTAAAATATTTTGTGGGGGGGGGGGAAAGTCGAGCCAAATTTAAGGGGGGGAGGGAAATTTTGGGCCAAATTTAGGGGGGGAAAGTTTTGGGCCAAATTTATTGGAGGGAAATTTTGGGTTTAGAAAATTTAAGGGGGAAATTTTGGGGAGTTTTAAATTTTAAGGAGGGAATTTTTTGTGGGTTAAAAATGTAAGGAGGTAATTTTGGGAGTTTTTAAAATTTGCTAAGATAATTAGGTCTAAATATTATCTTACATGCAAAATATATAACATAAATATTTAGTTTACAAGAAAATGTTACATAAATTAGTAAGGCTCATCTTCATCTTCATCATCATCATCAGATGACGATAAATTACACAGAAGTTCATCTTCCAGTTCTGCATCTTCGACATCAAAATCAAGGTTTTTGGGGTTTAATCCGAGTACTCGATTCTCTATTACGAGATCTTCAATTGTAGTCCGCATTACAGCATCATCATTTATTTGTTGTAAAAGAGTTGGTTCTTTCTCTTCATATTATCCAGAAATATTTCCTCTCGGATTCACTTTCACCACGTTTAGCCACAATTGCTTTGGTTTTTTCCGGTATGGATATGGGATATAACAAACTTGATCTGCTTGAGATGCTGTGCAATATCAACAAAAAAGGTCATTGAGAAACTCATGTCTCCATTTTTTAAAGTTAGGGTATACATACATACCTAGTATAAATGGTTCGTACTTATTGTATCTTCGTGAAGAATTAACATCTACAATGCCGCCATTGTTCCTTCGAGTGCCTCTACCGATAACTGGGTCATACCAGTAACATTTAAATAGTGTGATTTTCAGATTTGTCATCCCCACATACTCAATTTGTATGTTATCCGTTAAGATTCCATAGAAATCAGCTTCATCAGACGCATCCGTATAATTTTCTCCTTTTACACTTATCCCATAGTTACATGTTTTTCGTCCCACACCATGACTCTGCGTATGAAACAAATATCCTCTGGTAAAATAGATGGGCCATGTTTTAGCCTTGTTCACGGGTCCGTGCACTATGTCTTGAACCCAATCAGGAAAAGGATTTGTGGTATTCCAGTAAGTAACCTGCATATATGAACGAACATTTTATATATGGTTGTCAAATTAAAATTGAGTTATGAATTAGAGTAAGACATACGTAATCTTTGACCCAGGATGGATATTCGTCAGCCCGTTTTGCGGAGAGATCTTTTTCAGAGAGATCTGGATATTTGGCGCATATATAGTCTTCAAACATCCTATATAAGACCGATATATATTTTATATGATAAATCATGTATATTCTATTAAAACATAAACTAAAAAATGAAAACTAAAATATACCGCTCAAAAGGCTGAAAATACTCGCAATTTCGTAAAATGTATGCATGTGCTATTTGATGGTCTAATTCTGATAGCCATATCTCGTGCATTTGTCCACTTGGACGACCGACATGAATAAATATATCTGGAACTCCTGGAACGTCAAATACGGGGACTTCACCTTCATTGAGTCTTGTTAACCTGCCCAAATTATGAGATGAACTTAATTTGTTTGATCCAGGATGTATATTAAATCTGTAAATTTAATGTGGACAGGACACCTTGATTTTGTTTGTATATGTGCGGCAAAATAGTGTTCTGTGAAATAAGCAATCTCGTCATTGATATACGATTCAACAATCGATCCTGAAGCATATCGTTTGTTCTTATAAGGGGTCAATATCACAGGCCATAATGAATGATTACGAGACATGCCAAATGGATTGAACCCATCTGTACATAATCCAAGATAAACATTAAGTGGTTCTTCGGCAAACTGTGGATGTAGATCTTGAAAATATTTCCATTCTGCAGCATCAGATGGATGTGACATTTCTCCCTCCTTCGCATGGTGTTCAGCATGCCATCTCATTGTCGATGCTGTCTTCTCGTTCTGATACATTCTCTTGAATCTATCGGCTATAGGCAGATACCACATACGACTATATGGTATTTTATTTCGTGATCGTCGTCCTTCGTTAGGCTTATATCTTGGTGCTTGGCAAAATTTACATTTCTCCCAATGCTCATCCTCTTTCCAGAAGATCATACAATTGTTGATACAAACATCAATTTTATGAAAGGGAAGGCCCAGATTTCCCATCAATTTCTCTGTCTCGTAATGAGAACTTGTTGCTTGATTTCCGTCTGGTAAATACTCTGAAAACAATGAAGCCCATGAATCCACACACTTTTCACTCATGTTATAATCTGCCTTATTTTGCATAAACCGAGCAGCTAAGGATAACTGTGAGTGACATTAATGACAACCATCATATAATGGTTTTTTCCAGCTTCTAACAAGTCGTAAAACTTTTGGGGATGGTTGCGTACGGGTTCTTGTACATTTTCATTACTTTCATCTAGACAATCACTATTATCTGGATGATAATAATCACAAAATGCATCATTAACCATATCTGCATATCTATCTTCAACTACATTATCCATTTGTTCTTCACTCCCACTTAACTGAGTTGTATTAACATAAATATTTCCACAATCCATAGTGATTTCTTCTCCATGCTTGTACCAAACATAATAATCTGGCATGAATCATTTACTGTATAGATGACTCCAAATTTTTCTCCCTGACAAAAACTTGTTGTTTTTGCACTGACTACAAGGGCAGTAAAATTTACCCCCATTACTTTGCGTTATGGACTGATTATTTGCAAAGTTCATGAATTGCTCCACCCCAGCTTTAAACTCATCCGAAAAATTACCCGTCTCTTTATTGATCCGTTTATACATCCACTCTCTATAATTATTATAGTTATAATTTTCAGACATATTTTATGATAAAGAAAAACTTTCTTTATCACAAAGTCTAAATTATAACTCTTTTTTTTTAAACCTTTTTTAAGAACTCAATCTCAAAAATAAGTACCAGAGGAATTTTATGGTACAGCTAACAAAAAAGCTAGCACACTTGTTGATGATGGTAAAATGGGTTTGGGGTTCATATATATAGAAAAATTTGCAACTCAAATGTGACGGCTTAGCCACTAATTTGCGACTCCTAACGGTCAGTCGCAAAAAACCGGTATACTTGCCTGAAAACGTATTACACGTGTCTTATTTTTGCGATTCGCCGCACAAGTCGTAAGGTAGTCGCTAATTAGCGACTGAATTACTACTTCCTTTTCGTGACTGAAATAAAGTCGCAAATCAGTCGCTAATCTACGACAATTTGGCGACGGAATTATTAGTCGCCATTTAGCGACTGCGTGGCGACTGGTTTTTTGTTGTCGTTTTTTCGTCGCAAAGCAATCGCTAATCCGTCATAAATATTAGCGACTACATATTCAGTAGCAAAATGTAGTCGGTTATTTACTGTTTTCCTGTAGTGTCCTCATCTTTTCTCCCGAGTAATAACAAGAATCCAAGACTACATTTTCCAGTCTCTGCAGTTTCTTTAACGCAGGCATTGGGTCTTCCTCTAGATGTAATCCAATAAGCGTTAGAGACTCAAGACTAGGAAATATCAAATCCATGTCTTGGGGAAGACTCTTTATGTGGCAACGCAGTGTCAACTCGACTAGGGTTTGTAATCGAACTGCTTCTTCCAGTTCTGATGATAACCTGAAGGTGGGTACCTTCAGTGTGAGGACACGAAGTTTGTCAGTTTAGAGAAGGAAGCCAAGTCCAAAGGAACTCTTTTCTGAGCAACCCACACGGAGTCGTAGATTTCCAAATCTCGGAGATTTATGAGCAGCTCATGTTTCAGTTTGCTCCAGCTGTAGGAGGAGATATAGACCTCAAGGTCTGAAGGTTTACTGCATTTCCTATTAGCAAATCGCCAGCGAATCTTCCCATGAGATGCCTCAGTGATGTGAGCGAGCGGAGATCAATTACTTGTCTAAAGGAGTCATTGCCTGAGTCATCTAGGGTCTGCAAAAACCGTAGGTTGGAGATAAAAACTGGCAAATTGCTGATACATGTATCAGCGATCCCAAGGTATCTCAAGTGGATTAATTCTCCGATCACATCTGGTACATGAAGCCCTCCAAGATGAAGCACTCGAAGTAACTTCAGTTTCAAGGTAATGTGTTTTGTCAAACCCCACATTGTTCCATTTCTTTCTCCGAAGAACAAGAAGGATCGCATCCGTTTGTTCACACGTATCTCGCACGAGTAGGGATCCATACGATGGTGAACTGCTTCCCTTCTGCAAGTAGGGGAAGAATGATGGTCTTTATATATATGTACAAAGTTGAGCTCTCTTGCTTTCTTGATGGCCACGTCTCTTAGAAGATCATGGATTCTACAAGACATCACTTTTCCTCTCTCTCTTCTCACTGCTTCCACTAGGCTTCTGTCTATCAACACTTCCATATAACACCAAGCCATGTCTTCCATCATCATCTATTCATCCTCTTGTATAAACCCTTCTGCCACAAGTAACTGTATCAACTTCTCTATGTCGATCTCATAGTCCTCTGGGAAGATGCTAAGGTAAAGAAAGCATAGTTTAAACTCTTGTCGCAGCTCTTTGAAGCTCAAATCAAAAACAGTGGAAACGTGTATGGAGTCTTCCTTTAGGCGTCGCCAGAAACTAGCACACACATCATTCCACTCGTTTGGCCTTTTCCTAGACATAAGACCAGCAAGAACGACTATAGCAAGCGGTAATCCATGGCATTTTGAATCATTTCTTTTCCGATATTTCGTAGATCTTCATCTACCCATTGCATATTCTTGAATGCTTTCTGCTCAAACAATTTCCAGCCTTCTTCAGACTCTCCCACGCTTCCCTGTCCCAAATATCATCTACTACCACCAGATATCTTTTTCCTTCTAGAAGTCTGTGTAGGTAAACTTCTAAGTCCTCCTCTGCAAGAATCCTGATCTTTTCCAAGTCTTCCTCCGAAGCTACTCCTAAAGACCTTATGATTCTCAGAAGCATCTCTTTAGTCTTATATTTTTGGGAAACAGAGGTCCACGTGCAGTAATCAAATCTTGCCTTCACATCTTCAGAGTTATAAAGCTTCCTAGCTAGAGCAGTCTTTCCGAGACCTCCCCATTCCAAAAATGGAGATCATACATCTATTATGATCTCCATCAACATCAAGAAGCTTTGCCAAACGAATCTTAGCATCATCTTCTAAACCAACTACAATCTCTTCCTGGTCAACAGATCGAGCACGTCGAAGCTGCTTCACCTTCCTTAAACTTGAAGTATTCTCTCTTGTTCGAGGCTCATTGAAGCTGCCTATGCCATAAGTCTCCCGCTTGCGAGTAACATCCAAGATTCTCCTCTTGAGGGTTCTGATATCACTAACTATACTGTACGCATCCATCTTCTCTCCTAGTTTGTTGGTCAACTTCATCAAGCCTCGCCTTTGTGACCTTTCTTCGGCTTTCACGTAATAGCTATCCAAAACGTCTTCACTACAGAAAACATGAAATTAGCGACTGCCATTTACGACGGATAAAACAGTCGTAAATAGTTCCGACTGTTTAGCGACTGTTTTACGTCTAACTAATGTAATTTAGTCGTAAAAGGGTCGCTGATTTGTTGCCAATTAAAACAGTTGTAATTTGGTCGTTAATTAACGACTACACTGCAACTTGTACGGCGGGTCGCATAATTTATAACACGTGTTATGACTTTTTTGGTAGGTGTACCGGTTTTTTGCGGCTAAAACTGTGCAGTCGCAGTTTAGTCGGAAAATAGTAGCAATGTAGTCGCAAATTTTTCTATATATACAGCACAACGCATCTCTCTTCCATTCATTCACAAACACAAGCTCTGAAATTCTGAGAGCGTTTCTAAGATATAATGTCTGGAAATTTCAATAATAATAGTAATAGAGAGTGGATGTATAGACGGATCGATGAAGAGACGGGAAATTTCTCAACGGAATTTGTTTCCGGGGTGGAACAATTTATGAATTTTGCAAACAACCAAACGCTAGCACAGAGTAATGGTGGTAAATTTTACTGTCCTTGTAGTGTTTGCAAAAATAATAAATTTTTGCCGGGGAACAAAATTTGGAATCATCTGTACAGTAAAGGGTTCATGCCAGATTACTATATTTGGTATAAGCATGGGGAAGAAATTACTATGGATTATGGAACTAGTTATGGTAATACAACTCATTTAAGTTGGAGTGAAGAAGATGTGGGTAATGTAGTAGGAGATAGATATGTGGATATGGTGAATGATGCATTTCATGGTAATTATCATCAAGATGATAGTTATCAGAATGTACGTAACCATCCTCAACAATTTTACGATTTGTTAGAAGCTGGGAAAAAACCATTATATGATGGTTGTCATGAAGGTCACTCGCAGTTATCTTTAGCTGCTCGGTTCATGCAAAATAAGGTAGATTATAATATGAGTGAAAAGTGTGTGGATTCGTGGGCATCTTTTTTTACGGAGTATTTACCAGAAGGAAATCAGTCAACCAAGTCACATTACGAGACAGAGAAATTGATGGGAAATTTGGGGCTTCCGTTTCATAAAATCGATGTTTGTATTAACAATTGTATGATCTTCTGGAAAGAAGATGAAATGTGGGAGGAGTGTAAATTTTATCAGTCACCCAGATATAAGCCTAACGAAGGACGACGTTCACGAACCAGAATACCATATAGTCGTATGTGGTATCTACCTATTGGTGATAGATTAAAGAGGATGTATCAGAGCCAGAAGACTGCAGCGGCAATGAGATGGCATGCTGAAAACCATGCAAAGGAGGGCAAAATGTGTCATCCCTGTGATGCTGCAGAGTGGAAATATTTTCAAGATCTACATCCCCAATTTGCTGAAGAACCCCGTAACGTGTATCTTGGGTTATGTACAGATGGATTCACTCCATTTGGCATGTCTCGTAATCATTCATTATGGCATGTGATCTTGACTCCTTATAATTTACCCCCTGGTATGTGCATGAAGACTGAGTACTTGTTCCTCACAATACTGAATTCTGGGCCAAATCATCCGCGTGCTAGTCTCGATATCTTCCTCCGACCTCTTATCGAGGAGTTAAAAGAATTATGGTCAACTGGAATCGATGCATACGATGTATCTTTGCAGCAGAATTTCAAACTAAAGGCTGTGCTGATGTGGACGATAAGCGACTTTCCGGCGTATGGCATGTTGTCAGGATGGACGACCCATGGTAGATTGGCTTGTCCAATTTGTATGGACGATACAAAGGCATTTTATCTGCCTAATGGAAGGAAGACGTGTTGGTTTGATTGTCATAGGAGGTTTCTCCCTCATGGTCATCCATTACGAAAGAATAGAAAAGACTTTTTGAAGGGTAGACACGCTATAAATGAGTCACCAACACAGTCTTTGACAGGTGAACAAGTTTATAGTGAGCGAATAGAAACTGTCAATCCTGCAAAAACGTCTGATTGCGGTGGAAACGGTCATGAAAAAAAGATGCCCGGATATGGGAAGTGGCATAACTGGCACAAAGAAAGTATATTTTGGGAGTTGCCTTACTGGAGGGACCTCAATCTCCGACATAATCTTGATGTGATGCATATAGAGAAGAATTTCTTTGATAACATCATGAATACTCTAATGAGTGTTGCGGGTAAATCAAAAGAAAATATCAAGTCAAGGTTGGATATAGAACGATTTTGTGATCGGGCACACTTACATCTTGCTGAAAATGGTCAAGCTCCTTTTCCAGTATACACATTGGAAGAAGCTGATAGAAGAAGATTATTGGAATGTGTGAAAGGGGTACAATTTCCTGACGGTTATGCGTCAGACTTAGCTGCTTGTGTTAATATAGAAAGAGGAAAGCTTTCCGGTATGAAGAGTCATGACTGCCATGTTTTTATGGAACGGCTACTTCCATTTATCTTTTCAGAACTCTTGGACCGTAATGTCCACCTAGCATTATCAGGTACTTTAGTCGATTTAATGGTACATACATGTAAAAGTTCTGATTATAGTAATTTATTCTGAATTGAACTTTCATATATCTAGGTATTGGAGGATTCTTTCGTGACTTATGTTCAAGAACTTTGCAAAAAAACAGGGTCCAAATCTTAAAACAAAACATAGTCCTAATCTTATGCAATTTGGAGAAGATTTTTCCACCATCATTTTTCGACGTAATGGAGCACTTGCCTATACATCTTCCTTATGAAGCTGAATTAGGAGGCCCCGTGCAGTATAGGTGGATGTATCCTTTTGAAAGGTTTTTTAAAAAAACTGAAAGCAAAAGTAAAAAATAAAAGATATGCATCAGGATCAATTGTTGAATCATATATCAATGACGAGATTGCTTATTTTACGGAGCATTACTTTTCCGATCATATACAAACGAAATCAAGGTAAAACTGTGAATTCATATTTATAATTAGTCTATAATGGCCAAGGTAATTTTACATTAATATGTGAATTCATTTTTATTATTAAATATTGCACAGGTTAACAAGATTTGACGAAGGTGAAGTCCCTATATATGATGTCCCCGGAGTTCCTAATATATTTACTCACGTAGGTCGGCCAAGTGGGCAAATGCATGAAATATGGCTTTCAGAAAAAGATCACAAAATTGCACATGCATATGTTTTGCGAAATTGCGATTACTTTCAACCCTTTGAGAGGTATATCGAATTTCATCCTTTTCAGATGTATAATCTAGTATCATTTCTAGTATCATTACTTACAACCCTTTATATATACAGGATGTTTGAGGATTATATTTGCACAAAATATCCACAACTCTCTGATAAAGAAGTCGCTAAAAAAAGAGCTGACGAATATCCTTCATGGATGAAGAATTATGTACGTTTTCTATATGATTACTAACTATGTACGTTTTCTATCAACAAATTAGTAATCTATATGATATAGTTCACGGACCAGTCAATAAAGCCAAAACTTGGCCTATTTACTTTACGAGAGGATATTTGTTTCATACACAGAACCATGGCAGAGGACGGAAGACATGTAACTTTGGAGTGTGTGTTAAAGGAGAACACTACACCGATGCATCTGATGAAGCTGATTTTTACGGGATCTTAACTGATATCATACAACTAGAGTATGAGGGGATGGCAAATTTGAAAATCACACTTTTCAAGTGTGAGTGGTATGACCCTTTAATTGGTAGAGGCACTCGAATGAGCAATGGTGGTGTCGTTGACGTTCTTTCATCAAGAAAGTACAACAAATAAGAACCATTTATTCTAGGTACCCATGATATATAAATATATAAATTTATATCTAACTCAATAAATATAATGATTATATATTCATTTGGTATTCATATTTGCATTCCACAGCCTCCCAAGCAGATCAAATATGTTATATTCCAGGGAAAGCGGCCAATACATGCCTCAACCGAGCGAACTGGTACCGTTTCCTGCCTGTACTTTTGAGCTGTGCCCACACGTACCTGAACTGTTTAAATTGTGTATAATCATGCCCAAACCTGTTTTTTTTTGTCATTTCCTGCATTGACTTTGCATCCGTTAGTCAACCCCGTCAAATTGTTAACGGGGAATGACTCAGCTGCCACGTTGGAAACCCTGTTGGAACGGGAACATGTGAATTTAATGATGCGACGTCGTTTTTGGAAATGCTAAAAAAAAATTTTGTAGCCGTAGCGGATCGAACCCACCACCACTCCCATGGAAGCAAACCCGGAAACCACTGGACCAATTGAATTATTTGATATTCTATCCATACCTTATGAATATATTTACACTCTTACAGCTATAATTAAACAAAGAAACAAACACGAAAAAGTTTGTCTCCTCGACACATCGAACCCAAGACCCCACACGTAAAAGCAAGCCCAGAAACCACTAGACCTATTGTGTAATTTGGTTTTCTATCGAT